AGTACTTTACAAAGATTTTTAGTAACTCCAACCTCTTTAATTAATTCCATTCACTACTACACGGAAATAACCGACTTACCTACCTATATCCTCAGCTGTCCCTCAACAACCTTACCTACCTTCACATCATTTCTCTTTCCCCCTCTCTTTCTCTTACTTCCTTCCTCCGGTTGTTCGGTCGTTCGGTCGTCTGTCCGTCTGACAGTCTGTCCGTCTGTCTGTCTGTCTGTCTGTCTGTCTGTCTGTCTGTCTGTCTGTCTGTCTGTCTGTCTGTCTGTCTGTCTGTCTTTGTCTCTCTCTCTCTCTCTCTCTCTCTCTCTCTTTCGCTGTGTGTATGTGTGTGTGTTTGTTTGTCTCACTCTTTCTCTATCCCTCGGTAGCACAACTACCACCATCGGTTTCTCTCGTGGTCTGGAAGTTCAATTTTGGCCTCTCATTCAATAGGTCCCGCTTTCGAAACCTGGAGGCAACGGAAATTTTTCATCTCTAAATGTGTCTCCTTTCACCTGCTTTCCACATCTAACCATGCTCTGCTGTCTGCCTTCGTCTCCTCTTCCAGCCCCCACCCCGACCCTTTTCCCCCTCCTCTGGGCCCCTAATTGTTTCATCAGCCTTTGTACTGCTACCCACTGGCCCCTTCTTACTGAACAAAAGAAAGAAAGAAAGAAAGGAAGAAACAGAATCAAGCCATGAAAAGCAATGTATTTTACGATGACAAATAAAAAGAGATGTTACATGTTGTTATAAACATCGAGATTTATGTAACACAGTCATTCGTTTCTTCTCATGGTCTGATCAGAGAAAATGAGACAGTCTTATTCCAGCTAGATGTGATAAAGGGATTAACAGCACCGTGTGAACGGACTTATCATTTGTGAACCCCAAAGACAAGTGAATGGCTCCTTGGCTACTATTGTCTGTCGTCAGCGGTGATAAGCAGCACATTTTTGGGTGGGAGAGGATTATTTCTTTGTAAATTTATTTTGGGAAGTTCTTGAAAAAGTATTTAATCGGCTTTTGAATCTATGGACAAGACTCTATTGTCTCGTTTTGAGAATTGGTTGAGCAGTGCGTGGGGTGAGAACCGGGGGCCCTCGTCCGTCTTCGCTATTGTTGTTAAAAACAACAACAACAACAGTAACTGGAGAGACCTCCTTGCCAGAGGGCAAGTTTTCAAACAGATGTAATTAATTGTTGATTGGTTTGACATGCACAGTAGAGAACTATGATATTATTTTGTGATGTGTAAGAGAGTGATTAAAATGTTCCTCAGTAAAACCTTTCAACGCAGTAAAGGTCATAGGGTGCACATAAAAACGGACTTTAAGTTTAGTTAGAGTTTTGCGGCACTTGCAACATAATAAAGTAAACCAAACATTGAACCTCCAGACCACGAGAGCAACCGATGGTGGTAGTTGTGCTACCGAGAGACAGAGAAAGAGTGAGACAAACAAACAAACACACACACACACACACACACACACACACACACACACACACACACAGCGAAAGAGAGAGAGAGAGAGAGAGAGAGAGAGAGAGAGAGAGAGAGAGAGAGAGAGAGAGAGAGAGAGAGAGAGAGAGAGAGACAAAGACAGACAGACAGACAGACAGACAGACAGACAGACAGACAGACAGACAGAGAAAGGGAGAGAGAGAGAGAGAGAGAGAGAGAGAGAGAGAGAGAGAGAGAGAGAGAGAGAGAGAGAGAAAGCAGAGGAAAGTAAGCAGGAGAGACGGAGAGTTCACATGTATTAATAAATGGAATACTTGAATAAAGGCTCCAGGTTCCATAAATCTTTGTAAAGTATTCTCCCAAAGCCATTTCCTCAGTTATTTCCCTTCATCTCTTGCCCTTGCTCCAAGAGTCTCATTAACCGATCGTTTGGATTAAAAGTTGTTGTTGTTTTGTTTTGTTTTTGTGTTTTTTTATAACACAACATCACCTCACATGTAAAATGTTTAAGACTTAAAAGAAACAAAACACAGTTGATTTTGAAGTTTGAACCCTCAGTCACAATACTAGAGGAGTCCTCTTTTATGATGTAGGTAACAACAATCCGAAATAACTGCTGGAGTAAGGGAAACAATTACCTTAAAAAGTCTTGTTAAATAACAGTGAACAGAAAACCAGAAAAACTGCTTTAATAAGTGAAAGACAAATTTAGCAAAACTTTTAAATGTCGCAATATTAGGAAATGTTTCAAACCCTTAGAAAGCACATTTTTCAAAATGAACCAAGTGACAAATAGAAAATATTCTAAGCAAAACCATAATATAACACAATTGTTAGTACACCGACTATGTAAACGAATCGAGATACTTGACAAATATAAAAGACATGTAAGGTGGTCTCTTGTCACTTCTATTCACTATGGCGGCATTCTTCTAGTTAGTTAAATTGTGTGATAATTTAAAAATATCCATGGACAAAAAATCAATCAACGTATAATATGATTATTTAATCTTTGATCTTAATCGGTGATGATTGTAACCAGATGATCATATTAATATTGAAAGATGATCAAATTGGTATCGATTAGTAATTAAAGTTAAGGAGGTGTCGAGGTTTAAGAAATTAAGACCGGATGAAGGGAAATCGAATAATGACCGATTAGGTATTGATTATGATCAAACTAAGAAGGTATCAAATAACCATAGCTGGACTAGGCAAGTGTGGTATCGAAGAATGACTAGACAAACCACACCGATTAATGGCCGGAATTGAGGTATATAATAATGGGCTACAATAAATTATAAAGGGTATCGACAATGACAGGTAGGAATGTATCAAATAATAATCTGGCAAGGTGTTGAATGATCGTGAGGTATGTACTAGAGACAGGTAGTTATCGAATAATGACATGAATGAAGGTATCGATTATAGACCTTGCAGACTTGCATCAAATTAAAACGCGCAAGTGAGTATCGAGTAATTACTACTGGGCAGGTATCGAATATACCGAGAAGACGTCGATTTATTATAGATATCGGACAGCCAAGTAGGTATCGAATAAGGACAACAGTGATGTATTCGTATCGAAAAACGAAAGGGCAGGAGCGTATCGAATAATGAACAGGCGTAGGAGGTAAACCCGGGTTAGATTTTTAGGATTAGGGTTTTAGGGTTAGGGTTTTAGGGTTAGTGTTTTAGGGTTGGGGTTTCAGGGTTAGGGGGTGGTTAAAGAAGAGCTCCTGACAATGAAAAATGACTTTAAATTCAAAATATTTTTTAAGAAGTGCCTATCTCTCTCTCTCTCTCTCTCTCTCTCTCTCTCTCTCTCTCTGTCTCTCTCTCTCTGTCTCTCTGTCTCTTTCGCAGTATGTGTGGGTGGGTGTGTGTGTTTGTTTGTTTGTTTGTTTGTCTCACTCTTTCTCTGTCTCTCGGTAGCACAACTACCACCATCGGTTTCTCTCGTGATCTGGAGGTTCAACGTTGGCCTCTCATTCAATAGGTCCCGCCTTCGAAACCTGGAGGCGACGGAAATTTTTCATCTCTTAATCTGTCTCCTTTCACCTGCTTTCCACATCTAACCATGCTCTGTCGTCTGCCTTCGTCTCCTCTTCCAGCCCCCACCCCGATCCCTTTCCCCCTCCTCTGGGCCCCTAATTGTTTCAGCAGCCTTTGTACTGCTACCCATTGGCCCCTTCTTACTGCTGTCTTTCAGCCAAACTCCTGATCTTATTGTAGGTAAGATCTAACAGCTTATGACATTATGCAGTTGCAAGCGCACTTGCCAAAAAAAAGCAACCAAAAAAGTAGAAAAAATGGCAGAAAAAAGCAACAGACAAGAAACAAACA